CCAGTGAAAGTTTAACATACATATTTATAAGTAACATAAAATAATCATCATCAGCCTATAAGTGGCCGCTGCTGACCAAAGGCTTATTCTCACATGGCAAAGGTTTGAGCATTAATCACTACGCTTGCTGAATGTGGGTTGGTAATTTCGGGTTTCCTCACTATGTTTTTTTCACCGTTCGTCAGTGATGCTTAACTCATTGAGTGCCATCATTATAGACATAATTAAAGAACAATACGTTGCGGTCACCGGTGTCCGCTCGGTGTTTGACAGTTTAAATCGATGATGAATGATAATATGATCGAATTCGATTGGTTTTCCCCTTCAATATTATATTACCTGTGTTAATTTCAAAGTCGTAAAATTACTTTCAAAATAACACAGCACTTATACTTACCAAATATCGCATACTTCATGCTTGAAGATAATACCATAAACTAAGTCATCAATTTCTTTACAGACCACTCAAGTTTTGTCATATTATTATACCAAAAGTTACTCATCCCTGTTTTGGTGAGAGATGTTCTTGAAAGGTTTTATTCTTGGCTATCATATTCTCATACGGCGAGTTATCGTATTGGATTTGCGTAAAGCTCTGCGAAGTAGATATATTTTTTTGTTTTAGTTTGAATAATGTAAGATTATGTTGTTGGTCGAGCGGTTCCTAGTACGATTGTTATATAAGATATACATAACATCTTTTATCCCCGAAGGGCTAGGCAGAGGTGCACATTATGCTGCTGTACAATGTAACACCCACTTTTGACTATTTACGTTATGAGTCCCATGTAATAGTGGGTGCCATAATTCGGGCACAATCCAGACTCCGTGCTACTACTGAGATTTTTTTTTAAAAACCCAGTGAACACAACACAACACCCAGTAAAAACCAGTGCCCTGTGCTTAGTATCTGTATACTAGGCCTATTTAACAACTGGTAGGAAAAAGACAGATGTTTCTTTCGGCCCCTTCAGTAATAGTAGTTATCATTGTCTACTTTGTGTTTTTTTTTTGTTGTTTAAGTACTGTGTCATAATATAATGTATTTTTCCTACTCTCGCAGGGTTGCAGGAAGAAATCCCATAAGGGATTTATGCAGTACCTATGTACAGTACTTTTGTTTTTATTGTCTGTGTTGTGTAGGTATGTACTTAAACTAGTAAATAAATAACTTAATTGCTGAAGTGTCGGTTCCAAATAAGTGCAAATATCCTTATATTTTCAAAGGTTCATTGAGAGCTAGATGTTATCTAAATAAATAAATATTAATTTCTGTTTGTTAGTCTCGAGTCAACGAACGAACTCGAGAACGGCTTAACTGATTTGGATAATTTTGATCTTGAAATATTCGTGAAAGCCCAGAAAAGGTTTAAAGGGTGAGAAACAACCGAAATCGCCATGTCAGTTTTTTTTATGGCATAAACCGGTAAACGAGCAGACGGATCACCTGATGGGAAGCAATCGGCGTTACAAGTGCGTTACCGGCTTTTTGGGGATTAGGAGTTTGAGGATCATTGGGGATTCAGGGATTGGGGAGATTGGGAAGGGGAGGGTAATTGGGCCTCCGGTAACCTCACTCACACGACGAAACACAACGCGAGCTTTGCTTCACGTCGGTTTTCTGGTTCACTCCGGTCGAGCCGGCCCATTAGTGCCGAAGCATGGCTCTCCCATAACAAACAGTTAGTTTCTCAATAAAAATAAAACACATAATAAATGTTTCTATCTTTATTTGTCAAAGTTTACCTTATCAATAGTTACAGTAATCATTTATTAAGGTATCGTTCACCTACAGTTTGTAATGACTTCGTAAAGTAATCGACCCAAACATATTTATATCAAACACTTCGATTGCCTAATGCACATTATTGCATTAATTTTAATAAATAAAATCATTTTTTTATTCAATAAATTATTATAAATTTACTATTTACAAATAATATATTCATAAGATTATTATTTACATTTTATAATACAATTTGTTTTCAATCTTTATTATTTTTATTTAAACATTCGACTAGAAAAACAACTACAAAATAACAATATAATAATTCAGTGCTATTTATTTTTGATCGTGTACTTAAAAATCTGTTTACAATAATTATTATAATTATTTACAATAAATTTCCTATTCATTAATTAAATGTAACATTAATATAATTATGTAAACAATACTTACATTTTAATAATAAATCTAACAATAGATTTGAAATGAAATAAAAGATAAAATATTTATTTTCTATTAAAATTACAAGTCTTTCTATGTTTTCTAAAATAACTAACAAATTAAATTAAATGTCAAGTACGAGTTTCGTTCTCAAAATGAATACATTTAATGAAACACCGCTTTTTTTCTTTTATTTCATTTTCATTGTGTCAGGATTGAAATGACCAAATTATTGCGAAAAAGTTAAATTAAATTGCTAAACAGTTTTCTCGAAGAAATGAATAAAATGTGGGATTGCTGTCACAAGACGAAAACTTATTCAGATTGACATTTGATTTATTATTTAAATTAAATAAATTATTGTTTTGTTTATTGTTGTACAGTTTTAATGAATTGCGTTCTGAAATCAAACGTTGTTTTTAAATTCTAATATGCAAAAATAAATTATTATTCATGTTGAATCGATAAAATAAATGAGATAAATTCGTGTAATAAATTACATATAAATTATATTACATATAAATAATTATAGTTAACTAAACTAAAAGTGACAATATTCATTGTTTTGTATAATTTTTGTAATTATTTTGTAAATCTTTAAAGTATTTAATAAACAAAAAGTATTAATAATTGTATTAGAAATTTCCCACCGTTATTACTGGTGAACGTAGCACCATAGAATTTAATTTTACAATAACAATAAAATAGACTAAAAATCGCGGGTTACTCACGTTAATATATTGAGAAAACTCTACTAGTTTCGAACCACAGAGGGGTTCTTCCTCATGAGTAGCGTGCGCGGTCGCGGCGATGTCTCGCAGCCTACTGAGCTTTTCTCAGTATATTCACGTAAGTAACCCGCGATTTTTAGTTAATTTAGTATGTCTCACAATAGATAATATAAAAACAATAAAATAAATTACAAAACGATTTTGGGTATTAGTATTGTTTTTTTTTGTTATTTATAATTATATTATTACAATCGCTATTTCTTATAAATGATACCACAATTTTGCGGTATAAGTGTGTGTCTAGCGTTAAATTTAGTTTTATTTACATTTTACTGAAATTAGAAGGCCTTTTTCTTGAATTTAATAGTTTAGTAGGTAAAGTTGGGTCGAGTTTTCGTTGAAATTTCCAGAACGAACCGACTAATTGTAAATATTAGCCTGTTTCAAATTGTGTGGTTTTAAGAATTTATATTTATGTTAGAAGCGGTCTGTGTCAGTTAAATATATTTCGTTGAAATTAAAATGAAGTAAATTGTTTTGAATTTTGTGACGACAAATCAATTTGTTCGTTAGGTAACCTTTTTTAATGTGTCACAAATATTAGAAATGTTTCTGTATTTATGTTAGTTACTCAAGTACGTTAAAACGTCTGAAGAGAACGGGATGAAAAGAAACACGTGGGGAGTGAAACTAGTGTGTCATAACATATTATAGACCTTTTCAAGCCTTTGACTACTGAAAGGTACAGAAAATAAGGTATTTTACAACTAATCAAATTCAATACTTTTATGGAAACGTCAAAAACGATATTTTTCTATGAATTTTGTACCAAAAACTAACTTATGACGTCATCCTATTTTTGAGTCAAATAGCACACTTATTTCTGAAAAAAAAGAAATGCTAAAATTAATCGAATATTAATATGAATTTGTAATTACTTTTGACTATTTCATTGGATTTAAAAATCAAAATAATAATTTTTGACGCTGGAAAATACCTAATTGTTTGACTGTTGATGGCAAATCCTTCGCTATCGTGGCCCATAATTATGTTAGCACTCAAGGCGTTCTGCGTGTTAAAATAAACAAATAATAATATTTTTAAAACGAAAAGGATTGATGTAGGTATTTCTTAACATTTCAGTATCATTTTCAACTCTCAGTAAAGTCTCTTATAAAGAAACTATACTTTCGTACAAAGGTACATAATACAATGTATAATAATCCCGGCAATACAATGAAATTAAAATTCGACGTTATTACAATATTCATATAATTTATTTTACCCTAAACTTATCAAAATGAAGGCTATGCTATACACAGTTCAATGAAAAAGGTTTTTTATTTTACACAATAGTTACCGACGTGGACTGTTTGAATGGGACTAATACATTGTTCAATTTATTATTTAAACTGTCAAACACCAAGCGGTCACCGGTGACCGCAACCTATTGTTCTATAATTGTGTCTACAAAACCGGTACTCGACGAGTTAAATTGATAAGTTTAACTTAACTAAAAAGTTCTTTTTATTTTTAAATAGCGACCCCTTGCCCGGCAATCGCACTCGCGACCACTTGGCCAACGAGGCAGTCAGATTAATATACAATCTCATTATAATATATGACATTGAGTTCATATCTCTGCTTGAAATCTTAAACTATGTTTGCAATGCTCTTTTTAGTCATTGATTAATTTCTTATCTGCCTCGTTGGCCGAATGGTCGCAAGTGCAACTGCCGGGCAAGGATTCTCGGGGCAAAATAATACTGGGTTTAAAAAAAAATATCAGTGGTAGCACGGGGTCTGGAATTGTGCCCGGTATATGGCAATAGGCTCACCCCCTATTACATGGGACTCATAACATAAATAATGAAAGTGGGTGTTACATTGTACAGTGGCACCTTTGCCTGGTCTTCGGGGATAAACGGCGTGATGTTATGTTATGTTAACAATTTCTTAATTATATCGATAAATACAAAATGAATTTAGAAACTTAAAAAATAATGAAGGAATCATATCCGAACTTGTATCCAGTGTTAATAAAATATCTATAAAAGAAATATATTCTTCACTACGAATAAAATACAATTTCAAAACTTCCCTACTATAAGAAAGAAGAATGAAATACAAAAACGAAATCTAAAACGTAATTCGATAAAACCACTGAACATGTTCACTGGTCCAAAAATGGCGGACAAAATCGAAATTAACAGTGAAAATCAAAGACAGGGTAGCCATCTTGTAACTTGAATATTTAATCACCCATTACATTTTGATCCGTTGAAATCCTTTAATTTAAAACTCATTGGACTGGGTCTGGTCTCTGACACATTTAGAAATACGTATAAATTTAGGTAGTCATTCTGTAATATATTGGAATCTAGGTATTTTGTATGTGATTTGTGTGGGAGAGCCATGCTTCGGTACGAATGGGCCGGCTCGACCGGAGTGATACCACGGCCTCACAGAAAACCGACGTAAAGCAACACTGTTAAGAGAAAAATGCTTTCATTGAATTGTTCCTATAAAACTGCATAACATAACATAATGATTGCAACAACATTATACATAGTCTTTAAGACTAATACAAACGTCCCTTACAAAAAATCCACGTAGTCAACTACCACAACATAGTCTTATCAAAACCTAATTAAGACTCATTTTTATAATACAAATATTAGAACAACTTCCATTATAAGTGTTGTTTCAAAAGTTTTTTAATTTTCATCTGAATCCATCTACCGTGCTGGTATATAGAGTAGCGAGAGTGCAATATAATGAGATGAGTAAATTAACCGACAGGGCACACGGTGATGCTGTGTTTGCGTTGCCATGCTGCATCGCTGCTGGCTGCTCGCCTGTTGAGAAAAATATAGGTTTTAGAACACATTTTTAGATATGTATTGTAAAAAAATATCTATTAAGATCTTTTAAGTGTGGGAGAGCCATGCACGAATGAGCCGGCTCGACCGGAGTGATACCACGGCCTCACAGAAAACGTTAAACAATGCTTACGTTGTGTTTCGTCGTGTGAGTGAGGTTACCGGAGGCCTAATTACGCCCCCCTCCCCCTCACCAGTATCCCAATTCCCAATCCTCCACAATCCTCAAATTCCTAATTCCCAAAAGGCCGGTAACGCACTTGAAACGCCTCGGTGTCTCAGGTAACCATGGGCGGCAACGATTGCTTACCATCAGGTGATCCGTCTGCTTTTTTATCAGCTTATACCATAAAAAATAGGAAAAGATTGACGTTTGTGACATCGTCACATTTTTTTTATGTAATGTGTTAATGTTTGGCCCCTATCTCGCCTGGTAGTAAGCAATGATGCGACCGACGATGGAGCACGTTTATCCAAAAATAACTTATTCACTCAAGCCTAAAGACGACCAGTAAACGTACCTGAAGTCTCGAGTAATATTTTTAAATCGAGTATTATTGACTGTTCAATTAAAAATAAATAGTTAGTAACTTGAAACCTTTTTTCAGACACGACTTAGTAAATGAAGAAACAACGAAGAATATGGACTGTGAAAATGTTACCAGTGTATAGTAATATGCTTACCCATTATTTCATAGTACTTATAACATTACTGGTCTAACGTATTTAGTATTTTATACATGCTCCCAGACCTACTAATGTTTGTAAACTTATGTTATTAGAAGCTCAAAGCCTTTAGTTGTACGCCAAGCCTCAAAACTAAGAATTGGATAAACAATTTGCATGATCTAAGCTTGCTAAGTTGTGGTAATGTAGTTAGCTTCTTGTATTGGAAATGTTCCCAGCATTAGCACAAGATCTAGATTCATATGACAATTGTTTCGACCCCTATAAATAGGAATACTAATGTGGTAGTGGGTGGTGTATATTGTACCTAGTATCCTTACTAATATTATAAATCGGAAAGTGAGTTTGTTTGTTTGTTCCGCTTTCACGCCGTAACTACTAAACCGATTGCTTTGAATTTTTACAGACGTAAGGTAAAAAGTGTGGAATAAATAATAGGGTACTTTTTATCCCAGAAAAAATTGATATTCTCGAGGGAAAACGAAATTATTGATACAGATGGCGCTGTGTGTATTGGTATATGTCACATTGGCTACATTTTATCCTTTTGTGACGCGAGCGAAGCCGCGGGAAAAAGCTAGTAATAAATATATAAGTGTTGATTCCCTTAAGGGATCAAAGGTCTACAGCACCCAATATAGGCTAGTTATTCTATTTGTACCATGGAAAAGCTCATCTGTCTATTGTTCTACATTGAACATTGCTTTAAACTTAGTGCTATGTAGCATAATATTTGTAATTTTGATCAGTAAAGAGGTAGCGCGTTGATAGAGGCACACGTAATAATAACCAGTTTATAGCCGTTGCCACCCCAAAGTATTAACTAATAGTCACTCTGTGCAGCAGTGAGGAGCACCTGAACTTACTTGTACTGTTAGGTGTGACGATAGCTATAATGTTCTTAAGTGTCCCTCATGTTGGGTGTTCCTTAAAATTTAAGAGAGACATGCTGCTATGTATCGAACACAATTTCAGACTAAATTTTTCAATAAAGGATATTTCGGAGAACGAAAACATCCCAACACTATTTTGCCTGCCATACCTCCCTGGCTCATTACTCACAACCATTCTAATTACCGAGGGACGCATCGCCACAACTTGTGTCACCCTTGCGCCATCACATCTTCTAAGTACTGGTGCATGTGCTGATGTGGCCGTTTCCACGACAGAGACTCTCAAACGGCGGAAATATTCAAATCTAGTAGGTAACTACTGTTTTGAGTCGTTTGAGGTCTCAGGGCACATTTGGTTTTTAAAGAAATTGCCCGTAGGCTAATCAACTCTACACGTGGCCAGAAGGCTGGCTATTTCTTCGGACAGAATATAAGCATTGGCATTCAACGTGGCAATGCTGCCAATCTTCTGAAAATGTTTTCCAGTGACAGTGATGCGGACGAATTCTTTAACGCCTAACTGACCATCAGTTAGGCGTTAAAGTCAGTCTTTATTCACCGTTTACTTTTAGTAATTTTAAGTATACTACTTAGTAATTTTAAGTACACAACTTAAAATTACTAAATTACTTTATTCATAATTATGTTATCAACGAGGAAGCTACAAGTCTAACTTCAGTTTAAACAGCATCAGATTGATCCAATACGAGTTGAGTAGGAAGCGCGTATTTAGGTCACATTATCTTAACAAGGGTGACGTAAGTGCCAACTTAGAGATTATATCAGATGGAGGGGGTGCAAAACCCTCGAGAAATGCTCCCTTGAGAGGACTATAAACTATAATAAGGCTTAATTTGGTACTTGTATAGTTAAGCTGTTAGTGAAGTGCTGGTTGTAGGAAACAAACGTTGTGATGGTTTATTGTTTTGTTTTAATTGGTTTCGTGTATGCAATAATAGACTTTAATGTCAATTTAACTAACTTTCTTATTCATCACACATAATACACTTTGCTTTTTATTGCCCAAGTACATAGGAGTGAAATATGACACCTTTTTACCTAATCGCACATCTATTGTTTGCAGATCATTGGTCCCATTAATAGATATCGAATCTATTATAGAAACTCCATCTCTATTAGGAATTTACATAATGTATGTACTTTATCTTAAAAAAAATTGCACATCATGTGGATCATAGTTGAAACTTCATTATCAATACTCTCGACCCCTTGGCGAACGACGACAACTAATGCAAGTACCATTGCTAAAGAAAACTAAAGACTAAACTTATTCTCATAATTAATTCATATAATTTTTCTCACCGGATTATAGTTGAAACTTCATTATCAATACTCACGACCCCTTGGCGAACGACGACAACTAATGCAAGTACCATTGCTAAAGAAAACTAAAGACTAAACTTATTCTCATAATTAATTCATATAATTTTTCTCACCATTTATAACATGCACGTTAACAGAAGCTGCTTCAGCCATAGTGGGCACACAGCTGTAGTTTCCGCTGTCTCCCGGCAACAGCTTCTCCACCGTCAGCCGTGACGTCAGCTGTTCCGTCCACTCCGTCTTTAGCCTCACTCGAGGTTCCTCTACCAGCTCATTCTCTTCTAGTTCCTTATATTCTATTATGTTTGATCCTGTAGAAAGAGTGGTCAATTTTAATTTTGAATATTTTCTTCATTATCTTCAATTTTTAACAGCAGATATAACAATAAATGTAGGATGTTCGTGTATTTTTATTCCTATTTCATATTGGAATTTCGAGGAAATGGCTAAATAAATACCAAGAGTTTATTAAACTGCGTGTCCGCTAGTTCACAGTAAAAATACAGATTTATTTAAATTGCAATGATATGTTATAAAAATATTCACTTTTATAATTTTTTTTTATTTGAAAAGGCTTTATGCACATACTAATATACAAGGTGGGCTTAATGCCATGGGCATCCTACTCCAGCCAGACCTTTGGGTGATGCAGAGATAAAACCTTATTTCTTTTACATTTTTTATTACGTGGTAAATATCACTATTAATAATACATTACCTCAATGTTTTAGACAAATCAAACAAGTTAGATCACGTACGATTCGTTTCAAGCCACGCTAGAGGCTCATAGTCCTGTGTAGCATTGCGCAATAACATTTATTTGCTTGAGTTTAGTTTAGTTATGTATCTCGTCCAATAGTATAAGACAGAATTATGAGAAACATAATTAATTTAACATCTCATTATTTTGTATTTGTTATTAATTAATTGTGGAAGAGCCATGCTTCAGCATGCATGGGCCGGCTCGACCGGAATGATACTATGGCCTCACAGAAAACCGACGTGAAACAACGCTTGCGTTGTGTTTCGTTGTGTGAGTGAGGTTACCCCGCTCCTTCCCGCTATCTCCAACCTCTAAATCCCCTTCGATGCTCAAGTTCCTAATCCCCAAAAGGCCGGTAACGCCTTTGGTGTTCCAGGTGTCCATGGGTGACGCCGATTGCATACCGTCAGGTGATCCGTCTGCTGGTTTACCGGCTTATCCCATAAAAATACATATACATATATATATGTATGAAAATTAGTAGATATACGTGTTTAAGGTTACTTATTATCTTATTAAAAATAACTTACCCTTATACCAAAATATCGTGCCCAAATCGTGTGGGCCCTGGCTTAGTATACATGTAAGCGACAGTGAACTGCCAGTCTTCACGTACAGGTCAACCGGACCGAGGATGTGCGCTTTCGCTTCTGTTAACAAGGCAGAGGAACATAATTAATAATTAGTTTATTTATAAGATCACCTTGGTAGTATAAGAAATAATAATTATATGTAACGTTATCATTGTCCCTATCTTCAAAGAAAAAATAGTTTCATTTGGAATTTTTTTTGGTCGACACAAATAAGTCAAAATAATGTTCATTAAAATATTGACTTCAACCTCCTTGTTTGAAGGTTTAAATCTAAAACCCGATTCTTAATGTGAAAAGCCAATAGCGAGATATTCGACGACAAACATACATAAATTTCACAGACGCACAGGTCTAACTAAGAATTTCCATTTTTCTCTTAAATTATTATTATGGCGGCAGTTGTCAGGGAGAATATTAACATCGCCAGAGTTGTGGGGAGCCAGTAGATGCACGTAATTGTCGTTCGATATGGAGATCTCAGGGGAAGACCTTTGTCCAGTAGTGGACGTCTTGCGGCTGTAGATGATGATGATGATGACAATAATGATGAGGGCTATAGTATATTATTGATGATATTAAAAACTAGCCTTTGTTGCTCCAGTAATAAGGATTCGTTTAAAAAAGTGGTATAGATTTAATCGCACATTATACAGAATAAATGAAATACACAGATGTTTCATGAAAGTCGTGACACGTAATAGCTCAGCTACTAACCATGTAGATTAGAAGTAAATTGGTCATTTTTTTCATGCTTTAGTTTAACCCAAAGCAAAATACTGAACAAGGAACAGCATACTGCAGCAAAAACCTCAGATGTAAGTATCAAACCACTATTTGTATTAAATGTAGTGGAAGTACGAGCAAATCCTGGGGGAAATTAGCTGTTTGAGATACAAACTAATTAAATTGAATAACTTTGTTGCAATTTCCATTATTACACAAGTTTCTAAGAAACCATTATTGTGACCCCATCTGACATCTTTTCTTCTAGTCTCAACGCTTACTTAAAAAAATCTTGGTATTAAGCATTCCTAATTACAAAATGAAATCGGATTAAGAATTTTATTCAGCTCCGTTTTCCGTCGAAGTCACAAAATATTCATCAGAAAATTCGTTAATGAATTCACTTAGTTATTCCCAAGAGTAATTTAGGGAACAAAATATTAAACCTAAGTAAGTACACTTTCATACATTTAGAATAGCGTCATACATTTTTTAACAACTCGTTCGGAGTGTTTTACGAAGTAGACAATTTCCAGACTAAATTTTTCCGTAGGTAAGCACTGTGGAATTACCAAAAAACCAAATCTACCAGCTCAACATTATTAAGACCGCGTAAGGACATTTAAAATTCAAATCACACTCGTAATATGAAAAATGTGCGCCAAATTCATTCTGCTCTTACGGTTAAAATTCTTAATAACACAAGTGTTTTCCATAACAATAATAATTCTATGAATACATAAGGGTGTTGTATAATCGGTGAAAAAGAAAAAAAATCTCATTTTCTCTTTTATCGTCCTAATTCCGCAAAAGATGTTGTCTGTTAAGATATTAAAGACACAAGAGCCAATGAAGTACCTTCCAACCGTGATACAGCACGTATATAGTATACAGAAAACGCCTCTTAAAACGATGAAGAAAAAATTAGGGCAAGATTAAATCTGCTCAAGGTTGCGTTGAAGCCCTCATTCCACATTGTTATCGGGGGATTTGAAAAGTTCAAGAGGGTACATGTAAAGAGATTCCGTAGACACGGCTAATAAACAAGGATAAAAAAATAAGGATTTATTATTAAAACTTTGGGGAGGAAAAGATCAGAAATGTTAAAGTAAAAAGATAATTAAAGAAGATTTGTTTTTCTCAAAGAGGTAAACAAAGATATCTATACAAAGTTTTGCTTTTAAGTCTCTCAAAAACGTCTGGAATGTTCCTCTTGTGCCTTGATTGCCCTTTTACTTGATAAGAGTAACACCAACGCAATCAAACCTTTTATTGAAGTACTCGATTAAAACACGAAGGTAAAAATTATTAACCTTTTTAGAGATACCTTTCAAAATGAGAGATGTAAATGGATATAAACATTATTTTAATGAAATCGTTTGTTTTAAGCATGACATAAGGCATAAATATAATGACACTGTGGCATGCCAAAGTATGAATTAAATTATGACACTATTACCAACATTTCACGTGTAAATAGGTTTTACTGTGATCTCAAGTAACGACGTCATGAACCATAATTATATTTATCATTGCCTGCCCTCAGCTGAAAACCTTTTTATTAGATTTCGTATCTAAAAACTTATTGAATAAAACTCATATTTGATTGCAGATTTCTTTAGCATTACTTTGTAATAATATTGCTTTTATTCCATTATATATGAGAGCAAATAAGTATGTTTTTCTGACTCTAATCATTTTATCTATATTTTCTAACTAAATAATGGTACTTTTGATATTAAGAGCTGAACTGTAATCGCCATTGGTTTCATCTATTTGTTTGATTTCAGGATCAATGTTTGAATTATATTTGTTGTATAAAAGTGGCTTATCAAATAGTTTATTTTTTTCTGTAAGATTGGAATAAAGGTACAATTATTAATTGTATTTTTACCAGTAATATTAAAGAATGTATGAAAAACCTTCTATCCAAGTCTAGACTCCAATAAATAGGTACAAAAATTTGGAATCAAAAGGTTCTTCAAAGAATGATAATGTGTTATAGAAGACTACTGTCAATTGTTTCCATAACAATGAATCTCGTTAAAACACAAGAAGGATCTTTTGCATCTACAGCTAAAACCAAAAACATAAACAAGAATTATTCAAGAAAGTAATCATCAAAAACAAATTCATCTTCATTAATAATTTCAACGCCGAATCCCTCTTTCATTATGATCTTGCCAAAATAGTCTGATAAATCAAAAGTTCTTGTGATACTCAAAGTCTCTAAAAACATCTTTAGCGTTTGACCCACTTCGTAAATATTCAAGTTTGGTAGCATGTTTTGCCGTGTCATTAGAACGGCTCAAGTGAGGCGAAGCAAGGCAAGACAGCGCAACGGTAATGCCTTGTTCACACTACACTAATATTTCAGTCGAGTATCGAGTATTTGGGACTGAGGTAGTTAGTCAAAGGTCCAATTATCTCTGTATCCAATATTTCTAATCCCCGAATCCCTAATCCATAAATTCGTAACCCCAAAAGGTTGTGGTGTTTCGGGTGTCCATTTGCCATCAGGTGATCAGTAAGCTCATTTACTGTCTTATCCCATAAAAAATAACTCTCTCTCATTTTGATTTTGCGACAGAAGCAAAAACAGAGCTACATACTAAATACTCGCTACTCGACCAAAATACTAGTATGCAAACAAGGCATAAGTGCTAAGGAAGCTAGGAAAATTGCAATGTCAAATGATGCCAGTTTTAGCCTTTGTATTGTATGTAGTTGTAAAGTTTGCGGTTAAACTTGGCTTGCATCAGTGATGAACGCTACTCCGCTTAGTTCATGCCTCATTCAAGCTATTTGATGCTTTAGTTAGTTCTGGATTTGAGATGTCAATTTTGTAAATCAGTTGAATGACTTTATTAAGAACTAGCTGTGCCCGCGACTTCGTTCGCGTAGAATAGTGACTATGAGCAGCGTTTTTTTTTTAAATATATACTTATTTTTATTTTAGATTTGGATCATAATCACAGTCATTTTGGGTAGCTAAAAAACCTACTTTACTGTAATGCTATTTACAATATTAGACGTATGGCCATCGGGGGTGAAAGCATACAGGCTGCTGGGCTTGCTAACACGGGACAGAGCCACATACAATTGACCGTGCAAAAAATAGCTGATACTTAGATCTATACCCACAACTTTTAGAGTCTGACCTTGAGCTTTATTAATTGTCATGGCGAAACATAGGCTCACTGGAAACTGAATTCGTTTAAAATTAAACGGAAATTTTTTTAGAATGAGAGGAATCTGAGGAATAAAACCACTATCACCTTTTCCGCACCCTGTTAAATATATATATATTTATAAGCCATTTCTGAGATTAGCGTGAACAGACAAACAGACAAACAGACAAAAAAAAAGTTAGTTACATTTTTGGGTTCGACATCGACATAACAATAGCCCCTGCTATTTTTTTTATTTTTATTTTCAATGTACAGACAGCACTTTTCTACAATTTTATTATATGTATAGATTTTTAAGTCATGGTTTTTACTTGCATTCATGGGATAAAGATGTGAGTGATGCATTCATGTTCGGCTTGTTTGATTTAACTTTTCAGTGACTAAAGTGATTTGTAATTCTTATAATAACTATCGTGAGATATATTAAATTAATTAAAAATCGCAGGTTACTCGATACTAGTTAGTAGAGCTTTCTCAGTATATTCTCGCGAATATCCCGCGATTTTCAGTTGATTTGAAATTGCTCACAATAAATTTTGTATTTCATTTTAAATTTTTAACGATGTAAAATCTTATGAAGCCACGTAACAAATAACAAGCTGAAATTGACAACAAAAAGAAATTTTGAATTTCGTAAAACTCCCCGGGAAGTTGAATTCTAAACCGATTCAAAAATATATACATAAACTAAAACAACCACTTAAGATGTTTTTTGATAAAGAATTTCAAACGAAAATAGTTTCATGTTTCTAATCAATCAGGAAACGTTGGCGTGACGACTTAAATGGCTTTTCAAACGATTGACCTCAGCTAGAAGGAAAGCAAGAAAATACCGAAGCAAAATATTTGAAAATGAAAGCAAAACAATTTCGTTTTGCTAAGAATTGTTCACTGGCTTTTGTATGTTTTGTTATAAAAACTCCTGTTAACGACTCTGCATTGCGGATGATAAAATTAGACTTCTGAAGAACGTTGTCACCTTTATTTGGAAGAGAGCAAACATTTCTTTTTATTATCATCATGTCTTTATTCTTTGGGATTGTTCATTGAGTGGTATTGTGTTTTGATAAGTTTTTTGGGGAAATTACGTTGTTTTTATTGGATGGTTTCGTTCGGTCGTAAAGGTGGACCAATTATGATTTGTTCACTTTTTTTTAAATGTTGCCCCACATTAGGATTTTCTCCTGTGTCGTGGGTGCGTTTATAAACATACAAGTTCACATACACAATGACACCCAGACCCGAAACAACAATTTGTAGATCACACAAAGTGTTGATCCGTGCGGGAATCGAACCCGCGACACGTTGCACGGCAGCCGGTTGCCCAGCCACCGCACCAACCGTGCAGTCAGTTTAAGCATGGTTAATAATTTGATAACTGATAATATGCTATCAGGGAGTTCATCAAGAGACCCATGCCTTGGTAATTTTCAAATATTTTAGACACTATGGAAATTGGAATAGAAGCATCGAAAAATCTCAAATCGTACAATTATCGTAATCTAATGATCGTGGAGTTTGTTATAGCACTACACTGACAAGCTCTAAAACAATAAAATAAGAAAAATATAATTCCATTTCTTCCACCCCGCTTCGACAAGCAAAAGTTTCCCAAAATATTAATTGGGTCCTAACTACGTTTAACAAAATCATTTTCCCTTCAACTTTCTGTCACGTACGGACGTCTAAAAGATTAGAAATTAAAGTAATTGCTATAATTGGACTTACCAACGACGTTCAGTTGAAAAGCTAAAGACATTTTCGGTTCGGTATTGACTTGACACTCGTAGATACCCGCGTCCCTTTCCTGCGGGAATTTTATTTGAAGCGTCCAATTTTCCGACTTCTCTGGCCTGATCACCTGGGAGAAACAGATTTACTTTTGTTAACGGAAACAGATCTCTATCGCTAAGTACATAAGTTCTAAAACCACTAGTTCGTAGGTACTTTGAGCTATGTGGGGTTCCTTTGGAGATTCAATTTGCAGATTGGGAGATATCGTATTGAAGTTAGGCGTTATCTTTGGTGAATAGCTGAACTTGTATGGAAGGCCTAATAGTGTCGGTTGTAAACCTCCGTTTATGATATAGGTCTTAATTAATAGATAGTGCGATTGGGACGCAAATTGTATTATTTGTGTAAATACCAAAATGTTTATCTTTACTTGTCTAACCCTTAATTTGCCAAGAGGTAAAATTGAGAAAGTTTAACCTTTTTTATTATTGGTACTACTATTATTTTGCTTGTATATAAATATAAATAATAATAATAAATAATTTATTCAAAAAAAAAATATGAACACAAATTTCGTATGTCTTAATTCTATATTCTTATTGCTATGTTATTCCATGTGCCTGAACTAGGTTTGAAACCTGTACCTCAGGCAATAAAAACCGCTTAGCATAGAGAACTTAAGGTCTAATTAACAATAATTATGGCCAATAGTTGCCTTTGTATTTGGCATGGTTAGTTGTGGTTTTGTCAAAATAAAACAAACTTCCAGGTACATAGAGCAGAACAACATTTAAATCTCTTGAATGTCTTACAGTATATATGTCCAATCTTATATGTATGCAAACTGAATTTCCGTACATAAATTAGGATGACAGCCGGGACTGACCGACGGAAATCACACTACCGCTCAAATTTGGATTCGTATATGTATGTATATGATAGCAGAATTTAGTATGAAGAATTGGTCGATTACTATTCCTAAAATTGTTCATTTTTAATACCTTTTTTAATTTTGATTATAGATAATTCGATGTTTGAACATCAGCATAGCAAGCTTTTTCACAATCATCAACATTATTTTAATTTAACAGAAAAAAAAACTATAACATGAATTTAAAAGAAAACGTATTTAAAGAATTCGACAAAATAATAATATAATGTTAATATGGTGGCATCTGTAAAATAAATCATTATAAGAAACATACAAAACTTCACACCATGTCCTCGAAAAGGTCGTCCATTTAAATATTTATCAAAACGGAACTTACTTGAAACCGCTGATCCGATGTATAAGTCAGGATCCCAGCAGTTAATATATGCAGATCTCTTTTCCTAATCCAAGATACCTGCAACAAAGGAAAACTTATTGTCATTCTTTATTTCCTTGACCCAATTTGAATTCGCCATAGCACGTCCCGTCAAGGCGGGGTACTTATTAATTCAGAGCTCGCAAATTCGTTCATCGTTTTCAAATTTAAAGGAGACGTGTTGAATTTTATGCTAACAAACTTTTTGTTGGAGTTGTTTCAATTGTTTTTTTTTTGGGACAGATGTTTTTATTTTGTTTTTTTTTTCTGTGTATGGATGTCAGTACTTTCGTACGAGTACAATTAATTTCGTTTACGCTGAATGCTGTTAAATACACTTGCACTAGTATTGTTTTGAGTTTTATGTATAATACAATTATCAAATCATGTACAATTATCAAGGTTACAAGTATCAATGACTAACACGTGTCCATTTCCAACACTAAGTACATATTTTTTAGATTTTCTTTTCTCAACTAGCCATAAAACTTTTTACATTAAATATAAAAATTCAATAATAATACTTCTATTTATGTCATATATCAATGCTCAGACACTACATAATTTTTGTCGACCCCTTCAAGCAATAAAAAAGGACTCATTGAAAAACAAACAATTTCATCCTCAACTTAATTATAAAATAACTAAACAAATACTCGATCAGTTTTAATTAAATTTAAACATTTGTATGAATAATTTATTGAGCAAACTTCTCGAAGCTTCTACTGCAGATTGTGGCGCTAAAATAGCTAATAATCAATACTAGGCTCTTTGTTAGTGTACTGGTATTGTGAGAAAGTAGAACGTTCTATATTCACCATTCTGTGGTGTTTATTTTTGTAGTTGAAAGTGTGTCGTAGTAGAATATTAGTGCTAAGAACCATTATTAACTTTGTAGCCTTCAAAGTTGATTAAAATTGGTGCTTTTGGTGCTCCGGTGCTTGCAAATACTACTGTTAGGAAAACAGTCGCATAACAGAATTTTGAGTCAGTATAAAATTATTGTCTTTTAACATTTCGGCGTTTAATTCGACACATACATACAGTTCAATACATGTACACTATGTACTCCAATAGTACTCCATTTAAAAGACTCCATGGAGTCTTTTAATATGTCTGGTGTAAGACACCATGACAGCGCAACCAGTCGCGTTAGAGTGGTTTCCGTAAGCTACCAAACTATATAGACTTCAGTGTCGACACACCAGACTGTGATAGTAGCAAAATAGACCTCTAATGCCTTCGAGTTGGTCTCGCCGCCATATTGGATGCGTAACCAGATGGACACTAGGTAAGTAACTCGCTAAAGAGCTGTAAAGTATATATTTTGTTGATGGCGGTGCCCGGTTGCGCGGCCATAGTGTCCTAGTGAAATATACGCCTTATTGTTGGATAGATCGCAAGTTTAGTGCGACTTTTAAGCAAGGGGTCTAGCATTTAGCAAGCATGCAAAGAAAGTATAGGAAAGCATAGGAATTAAGCAAGCATGATAAATTCCTATGCTGTGCAATGAAAAAATGGCATACAGCTAATAGGTACGTTATCATTTATCAATGCATTACAGACATGAAACTAAAAACATTAGTATCAAAAAGTGTACGTTAACTGCTTATCCATTTGATATCTATTTTCTATACATATAAATAAATAAAAACTTCCATTCGTTAGTTTCGCTAAAACTGGAGAACGGATTTGGTTTATTTTGGTCTTGAACA